ATGATGATGATGATGATGGAACACCGCGGGACATTAATCATTATTGGAAAGAAATAACCAGGGCCATGTACGATGTCGGAAACTCCTTGTTGTGATTCCGACCGCGTACATAGAAAGCATTGGGTTCCAGTACCGTCACTGAAACTTGTTTATGCGAAGTGCTGTATTCCGTTGGGCTCAGAGCACAATTCAGCTGGAAGGTACCCCGAGCGAAGCCCCTTTATGGACAGAGAGATGTGGTAGGTCCCGAAAGTTCAAGAAATGGAAGACGATGGTTCAGTCAGGACTATACGGCATTTGTTTCCGTAAATCGGGACCCAAGATTTCCGGTTCCCTTATGCCTCTGGAAGCTACAGGGTGAACGGATTGAGACTTGGTCGGTTTATGTAATTTGCACAAGCTGCGGTTGCACTGTGATGCACTCAGCGCACGCATTAGCAAAGCTCCGAAACTTGCGTCGTTTATAGTGGCAAAAATGAATTTCACTGAAGTGGAAGAGCCTGTGCGTAGGTTACTTGTAAGAGCAGTCTATCTGGTCACGAAATTTGACCCTTGTGATCTGCAGACCTCAAACTCCGAAAACCTATGATCACTGATTCCTTTGTAGCACAGCAGAAGTCAGTTGGCCGCATTGTGTACGGGATGTGTTTCTTAGGTGAGTGCTTGGTAATGTACCAAATTCATTAGAACAGCAAACAAAACTTACCAGACTATGGTTGGGACACGTACTACGCATGCAAGGCTACCGTTTACCAAGGAAGACGCTGTTTTTTGCATTTGGAACGGACGGTGGCGAGTGATTCAAGGGAGGCAAGCCATATAGTAGCTATGTGGAATGAAGGCAGTTACAGTAAAACTGAGTCCTATGGGATCTTCGCATCTTCATGTGTTGGGTCTACACTGTCCTCTTCACATGATTAGAAACCCTAAAGGACTTTCATGCCGCACTGCCTATTTGAAGTTTGCCTGCCGTTTTGTACCAGGCTCTTGGTGAGCAAATTTCTCACTGATGGCGTCTTATTCGGTAAGGTGCTTAAACATGCTTATCTTGTTGCTGCTTGGAGGTGTAGAAACCTTTTTTCCTAAGTTCCATTTTTCCCTTTCCTCAGAGTTGTCTGGCAGTTAAACACCAGTAGTTCCTACTGGTTAACCTACTGGTTCCGTTAACCGCCCTGCAAACGGAACATCCGTGTGACCCCTTAATTACACTGAAAATTCCCGATCAGTTGACGTTGTGAAGTTTTGTGCAGCAACTGCAACATTCATGGACATGTTTTGTCCAAGCACACATACCAGGCTTTTCGGTTCTAAACTAATAATTGCATACTACTGTCCAGCAGAAAAGTAGTTAATACACAAAAGACCTCCACCCGTCCAGTCGGCACTGGGCTATCCGGTCCATACTGTCTTCATCCCTCGCCTACTTACAGCATACTTCCGCGACAACATTCTGATGAGTTACTTGAGAACTTACGCACAGCGGTTAAAAAAAGTTGCTTCCTTTTCTATCACGTTTATTTGTGTCATTTTTACAAATTCGCGTACCGGGCTATAAGCGCTGTATCACTCGCGGTGATTTTTCACCTTTCGATGGAAATTCTTGGCGCAAGCTAGATTCAATTTGCCTAACAGTGATTTTCTTAAAGTTACCTCCGGCCTAAAGACTACTAACTGAGCATATTTTTTAAGGACTGCATTGTTCATCTTATCCTACCTCGTCATGTTAATGGAAATGTATGGCACAGTTTAAGAATGAGGTAGGCATGGGGGAAGTGGTTATAGTAATAGCTATAATTAGTTATAGTAATAATGAGACCAGCCAGTGCAGTCGCTTCAGGGAAACAACACTAGAGTGATTAAACGTCCAACAGCTACCCACGAGTTATCCATTTCTCATGTTATGATGTTTCAGCTCGTAGAGCGTATCGTTGACGGGCATCCTCATCATGCAGCTTTCACGTTACTATTTTTGGTCAACGCCGAGCTGGATGATGTGTACACTGCCGACTCTACGACCGGTCTTCAACGCGTCACCTCAGCGGCACAACGTTCCCGCCAAACAAGACTGAATGATACGAACAATCGGATGCTTTCTCAAAATGTAAGCGATTTTCACCCCTCTACATAGTGCAACATACCCACTGTGAGGCAAGCCGAACAACTAAGAGCAATGCTTCCTTAGGTTTTATTCTTAACTCACCGTACTTTCAAAACGCTGTGTCGCTTTACTCACTTTAAGCGCCTGTTCGCATTTTGCATCACTTTGGCTTAGTCATTCGGATCCATCCACGTGGACCTACCGCTAAGACTCCAGCCTTGAGCTCAACGTTGATCCCGCTTCTTGTACATACTGTTGTCTGTGAGTATTCTGATGCAGGTGGCTCTGATCCTAAATCGAGCGACCCCAATTCGACCCTCATGAGCGCTCAGCTTTGCGTCAGTAACTGTTTTGCTAAGTCCCGTAGAGTTATAAGGCAACATATGATCCGATCCCGAAAAGTTTAGCAACACGAGGCCTTCATCTCTTATTTGTGGTCGGTTATGTTGCCCCTTGGTTCGTAGTTTCAGGTTGTTGCCCTTCCCCATAGTCACTTCAGCGAAAAATCCCAAAGGGCGCAGTTTAAGGAGATACGTTGGTCCGTACGAGTATATGAACCAAAACACCCGGGTCCGAAAGGGGAAACCTAGGTTTTACTCAGAATTGTGATGCGTGACATTCGTCTTTTTTTCCTCAACATAAATCACAGCAAACTACGGAGCAAAACAGCCGAATTCAAGCTGCACGGCGCCTGTATGCTCGCCTGCTCGAAGGTCGTCGTGGTCCACTGCTTCAACAAATGCAGTCACTTGCTGAAGCCTACGTGGAATGGGCGAATTTTAATGTGGACAAACATCGTGGAAGCACAGGTTTGTTGACCATTCATTCTGTTTTTAAAATGTTTGTTGTACATTTTTTCATTACAAATTGCTGTCGTATTGTTGTCCACATTAGCTGACATTAATAGTGCCTCACTTTGGCCTTTCATTTCCTTTCTCCAAGCTGATATCCCTTTTCCCTCTGGATGTATGCTCCACCGGTTCGCCATCTCCCCTCGCCAAAGGATTAATGTCCGTCAAGGCATGGACGCTCTCAGCCTCGTTGCAATTCCAACTGACGTCTTGAGAATCGATCGCTCCGGTCAGTATGACAGATCCAATGTTGTCTGCATTTCTGGATTCGCTCCTACCTTTCGTCTTGCTGGTGGCATAAATATGCCCAAAATTGTCACTTGTTGGGGTACAGATGGTCGATCCCGTCGTCAACTTGTGAAGGGTCGTGATGATCCCCGTCAGGATGCGGTGATGCAACAGGTGATAATTTTCGATTGCTTCGTCACCGGCATTTGTCCGCGCTTCTAAAGAGTGGGGGGTTATCATTTGGCCTACTTCCTCATGATTTTAGAGAGGGATTTTCATCCGTTTGCCCCTTCAATAGGTTTCTGTTTTGATAGGCTATCATCTGTGCTGCATTTGTACAGTCGGTGAATGGTAGGATATGATAACAATGTCAAAGTCCATAGCCCGAATATTCGGTGACCGTGAATAAGTGCATCGCAGTGTAATTTGAATCAAATGAGTGACTCTTGTGTGCTTAAGCCAGCTGGAATAAAAACAGTCGTCATTTCTGTGGACTCGTGGGTTGCACAGTTATCCTACGGTGTTTTGTCCACTTTTCTAGCACTAGTGTATTCAACATGTATTGTAACTGGTGGGTGCTACCGTGCCTGTTGATGTCGTAGGATGCTCAGTTGGCGATTCTAGTTATATTGACTGCTTTTGTACAACCATCGATTTGTGAATCTCGACCAGTATCAAAGAATGTTTCCAATGTGATATTTCATCTTGTAGATGTAGATCAGCCATTTCGGAAGTTGGGGTGGGGTGGGGGCATGCTGTAGCAATTTTAGAAGCTCTCAGTACGATCATTTAAACATTTATGTCAAAATTATGGTAACTATCCCAGGTGCGGACATGGTTGATCTACCCGACTGCTCTGAAATGTAGAAAACAAGACGTTCTGCCTACCGTCACACATCCGGCTAGGTGGACAAGTAACTTGTTTACTGTCCAGGCATCAATATTTAATTGGAACCATGTTTGCCACTTTTTGTTATCATCCTCGTATCTGCTCTGTGGTTTTGAACCCTTCTGAGGTGCTTGTCTTTTTCGCCGTTCGGTTATATCTAATCAGGTGTTCGCCGCTGCCAATCGACTGTTTTATCAACGGCGTCGTCAATCGAGGGCTTATCTTCGGGCAGCCACCAACGCCGCTACCCCGTGTGATTTCTCACGATGTAGATGGTTGGATGCTGATGGCGGTCTTCGTGTGCGTACGTACAAAGTAGGTTATTCGAAACCTGCATTTATCTTCACATGCCGTTTTTTTTCGCACTTTGCTTAAGGCTGTTTAATTTATATTTTAAGGTTATTCCAATGGCCCAACGGAGTGGTGTTATTGAATGGTGTGAGGGTACTGTTCCGCTGGGTGAGTGGCTTGCTGCTGACCGATCTGGTGCTCATCAACGCTATCGTCCAAAAGATTTACCTCCGGGACAGGCCAAACAACGGCTCGCAGCAGTGCGTGATCGGCCTTATGAGCGTCGTCTTGCGGTCTTCGATGAAATATGCCAGAAATTAAAGTACGGCAAAGCTTTATTTTGTTCTTTGCGCTTGCCTCTTATTGCACTCCTCAATGATCCCCTCAGGTTCGGTCAATTATCCCGGCCAATCAGTTACTTTCACTTAATTCCATCTCTACTTGTTCATAGCCCTGTCCTCGCATATTTTTATCTGGAGCACTTTCCGGACCCACAACAATGGTGCAGGGCCCGCTATGCTTATACACGCTCACTGGCGGCCTCCAGTCTAGTGGGCTACCTCGTGGGTCTCGGTGACCGACATCCGCACAACCTGCTGTTGCATCGGGCTTCCGGTGAATTGGTCCACATTGACCTAGGCGTGGCCTTTGATCAAGTGAGCGATTTTTGTGCATCACTTGAGTGTTCACTTGGTTGTTCGAACCAGTGTAACCATGTCATTTCTCGCACATCTCGTTACGAGTAAGCTATCATGTTTATTTAGACGGAAGGCTAAATATGCTTGAATTTGACAATCATCTGAAATAATATGTATCCTTCGGGTTATCTGTACGCTGTTTATCCTACCCCCCCCCCCACTACTAGGGACGCCTTCTACCTACTCCAGAAATGGTTCCATTTCGTCTCACCAGGGACCTGATTCACGCCCTTGGTCCGCTCGGTTTAGAAGCTGGCTTCACACCTGCCGCAGAAACTGTACTGGCAGAGCTTCGCAATGGAAGCGATGTCATATTAACCCTGCTCCAAGCAAGTTTCTCTCTTGTCATACCCTTTGCAAACGTCGACTATCTAATGTGGTATTCCATATCCATGTTAACTCCATGTTTACTATCTCGCCTATCTAGGTGGTCGGGACCTGTTATTTGCAACAACCGTTTCCCGCCATCTTGTATTTGAGAATAGAACACGCCTGGGGGCTAAGTATCGAATTCGAGAATGTGGGAAGTATTTTGAAGCATATACAGTTCATGGACATATAGGAATGTGATCTTGGTTTAATTTATCCTTCCTTATTCTACGCCACAAGGTTACGTCATATTTCTATCCGTCAGCACCGAGTCAAGCCATTCCCTTGTGGAAGGGCGGAGGTTGAACAGAATGCACTGGAATAGCATGATGTACGGCTCATGGCGTCTAGCACCACTGCAATTTTGCTGGGAAACAGGTAGATCTTCTGATATTCCTTTATCAAATGTGTTTCCCAAAGCTGCTTTGTCTCTCTTTGGCGGATATCCAGTAAACCGGAATGTTTTCAGGTACTTTTGAGGTCCTGTTTGCGGTCTCGTGCCAGTGCACAATACTTCTGTATCTTGGATTTTAGCCCGACTGGCACAGCTTAACTTCACTGGCCCAGACAGTAATATTCTGCAAAAAGCCTCCTTGAATTGCCCATATGATTTCCCCAGGCCTGGGCGTACCCTGACGATTTTTGACTTGGCACTGTCCACTTGACTTGTGTTGGTATCGGTCAATCCCTGTCACACCCTGATACTCTGCAAAGATCATCCTCCCCTAAAGCCGCACTCACTCTTCGCACCACCAGGCGCGCCGGTCCTGTCTACGCGATACATTCAAGTACCTCTGTTAAACCACGTATGTAACTATGGCTAATACTGATGAGGCATGTGAGTAGTGTTTTCTCGTAACTCCGCAGCGAAGGCCTTCTTCTTTTTACCTACCCTTCTTGTGCCACGTAGTTTGTGGCACAGTGACTCCAAGACTTGGATTCATGCTACAGGCATGTGATTCTCCCTGTTGTTGCCCGCGCAGGTGAATCAGGCAAACAGTCTGATAATAACCAAATTGAATTCAATTTTCTTAACTAAAGACGTGCCCAGCCGGGTTATTCTCAGAAATTTTAAAGCTGACGTCCAAGTTGTCAAAACTTTAAGCCGATATGCTTTATACTACAAGTTAGCGGAAAGGTAAGTTGATGTCCCCGCGAACTGCTAGTATTTAGCCCATCTGATAGGTTTTATCCGATATCAAGCGAAAGTGGACGTTCTTTTCTAAGCAAGGTACCACTCCAGTTGCTCAGCAGATCGCAGATTCACCAAGTTGGTGATGCTCCCCTTAGTCAGCATAGCGACCAAAGTTGAGCCATATCGCTCAAAAATTGGGTGAACTTCAAGATCTCTAAGTGTTAGCAGAAGTCAAGAAACGGCTTCTCTGGGGCAATGTTCAACGCACTTTCCGTTTGGTTGAATGAATGCTCATCATCGATACGATGACTGTGACACCCCAGTGTTGACGCGAGATTCAATGGGACCTTGTTATGGTAACCGGGATTTGGCATAGAATGGTGATATATAGTAAAGGCAAAGCTTATGTGGTGACTCAGTCCAATTCCGAGTGAGTGCGTCAATGATGGACCAAAGCAAATGTTATTCAGCTCTTGTAATCCCGCTCAGTGTGTAGTGCTTACAACTTACACCCTACCCTCTCAGACTCGACTGTGGGACCGTGTGCAGCTAACAGACTGCCAAAACAAAGTAAACTTGACTTCCATGAAGGGTTGAGGTTTGCTTTTCTGCACAACTACATGATGACGTAGGCGAGATGGCTCAGTGGTTAGAGCGTGAATTTACTGACCGAAAGGTCCGTGGTTTGAACCCGACCTCTGCTTCTCGACTTACCCTCTCTAGGCTTGGGCAACTTGGCAGTATCCCAGCCCTCGTGCTTCCTTCTGGTGGCAGGACAGTTAGGCGCTGAAATGGTGCTATAGGTGAACGATTTTTTTCAAGTACATGATTTCAAGGACCTAACTAACCGAAAACGTGAAGCACCACACTTGTTGGAACCGTTATTTTGAGCCAGCTCTGTTGTTGACCTTTAGTTCATGTATCCATCCACTGTAGCAGTTTCTCTATGGCGAACATTTTCTCGGCTTAATTTTGCAGGAAGTTAGAAGGTCAATAACGTCAACTCGACTCCACAATCTGAATCTCGAGACCCAACTGACAAATGATACAAATGACAAGCTTCCACTAAGTTTCCGCCTGGACATGAAACGTTCCGGTGACTACATTGCTTGGTTATCTATCTGTTGTTAATGTTCTTCTCATGACAGTCTGCTAAATTTAGAAATCAGTTATCATTGATGAAAACTCCTTGATATGCCGAAAAGTAGGAAACCAGTTGTGGGGTTTCGAGAATTTTCCATCAACCCTGTGAGTTAAACTCTAGGATAAAGCACCAGGGCCACTCAGTGGTTGGTTTTCCGCCACAGAAACCGTTTTCCCTGGATCTCTTCGTTCACTGGGGCTGGTTGCCCCAGAGGGACAAATCCGTTGCAGTTCAAATATAACTTGTCGATGTTTTGCTGTGCTTCTCTCCACCACAGGTCCTATTGTACGATCCCCTGTATTCCTGGTCGATGACTCCAGCTCAGTTATGTGCCTTGGAAGCTCGGCGCGCCGAAAACACTTCAACTGTTTATCAAGTTAAACCCGGAACCTCTGTCCTCAGTGATCAAACCAACATTCCTGGTAAAACTGGAAGAACCAAAACTAGTGATGGCGCCGACCGCTCGCTGATGAACTCCACATCTGAATGCGGTACCGGTCGATTGCAACCGACAAGAGGTAACCCTGTGCTTTTCTTACTCCTTCCATTCGTCATTCTTGTTCCACTGCCTGCTTCATTCTTTGGGCGGGTTGATCAGGTCACGTACAACATGAACAGCTAATTTACTGATTGTCTTTACCCTTAGAAGTTCTATAAACAATTCAGGTCGTAATAAGGTTCCATGAAGCTTGACTTGCACTTTATCATGCTACTTCAAATCCACTTATGCTGTACACCTGTTTCATGGCAGTAGCTCAGAGGTTAGAGCGCAAGGTCCTTGGTTAGGACCCGCCCCTAACTTTTCGATTGTTTCTCCCTAATTTGACAGCATGACAGTTTTCCATGCTTCCTTTGGACCACATAACCCAAAGTTGTGTGCCAAAAGGTTTCCACCTCTGAATTTGATTTGGTGCAGCTTTATCACGAACACGCCAGCAATGCATTCTGTACGAGTTCCAACTAGATCTCGAGACCGTGACAATCTCCCCTGGGCGCCCAAATTTTGACTGCACTCTTTACTGTCAATAGCATGGACTTAGGCTGGCTCGTCAAACGGTGGTGAACTGCAAAGTCACTGTCTATGGTGTGCTCTTCCTCTCTGGACAAACAGCATCCATCTCATCGGCAGTAGAAATAACACGAGTGCGTTTTGGTTCGAAAGATAAATCCTTTGGTCATGTAAGATTTTTCCTCTCCCCAACTGTCAAACTAAACACATCGTAGTATATTTGAAGTGGTCAACCATGTGGATGATCTCCAAATGCTCATAAAGCTGTTTCGGCAAATCAGCCGCGTTAGGTTAGCGCTTTCAAGCAATGTGAGTGATTTGGTCATTATCCTAACCGTCGGAATGATGGTACGCTGTGACTATCGAAGTAACTTTTAGTTGAGTGTCTTGACACAGTGGTTCCAGCTATCTTTAAGAGAACCCTCACCATCGGGCTAGCTGGTAAATTCACGCGCAGGTGGAGCATCGAAGCGAAGTAAGCCTTCCTAACGGGTGAGATTTAGTCCTTAAGCAGTGCGGTTACCCAGATGCAACGCAGATACCAAACATAAGATTGACTCAAACTTCTGCGAAACTAATAACGCTGTAAACCATGTATTATCTCCCCTATAATAGCCTTATGCTGCCTGCCTACAAAGCTTTGTTCACATATTCCAAGATTATGAGTGCACTGCCTCTCTAAGTAACTCTTCAGGAAGCCCTCTTTGTTGAAACAGATCAATTGTTATTAGCGTCATCACTAAACACCAACCATTCCCTGTTTTACAACCGCGATAATTCATTTCCGGAAAGTTTTTTTGAGAAACGAACACCAGGGCAGAAGGTGTAAGGTTCTTGTGTTAGACTACTGCACCTATTCTTTAAGTGAACGGCAACTGGGTTTTGACTACATTTCTGCGGTAGTACTGCTTAGCAATTAGAGATATTGACTCTTTTCACTCTATGTGTATACACACCGAATTTATCCAACTAAACACCTCTGTACCAAAAAATGCTTCTGTTTATCTGGAAACCTGATGCCTTGCCATCTAACATTCACCCTATAATTTAATTCATTTGTTTTCATGAGTGTGCGCTTGTGAAGCCTTACCCCTCAAGTTTTTAACTCGTTTCAAAACATGCACAATTTTCTTCTGTTATCTACCTACAGAACCACTCAACCAGCTCGCCGAACGAGTGTTGCTCAACGTACGCAGTAAACTGGAGGGTCGTGTGACTGGTAATATGGCGAGTGCATCTTCAGATCAACGGAAGTGTGCTGGACTGGACCAGTTAGACGTTAGTGGCCACGTGGGTATGCTAGTTCGGGCCGCAACCGATCGGACCCAGTTGGCCCGTATGTATTTTGGATGGCAGGCTTATCTCTAACCGAATCCGCTCCAATGTATATGTCCTCGCCGATCATTTTAATGACATGTATTGTTATTCCCGCCCCCTTATTTTTGTATAACTTTTCGTGTTGAATATACAGATTCGCATCTTTATGAGTGTGCAGTTCAGATATGAGCAAACATATCTTGGGATAACCGGATCTCCACAACTTCCATAAGGATATGTTATGAAAGCCACCAGAAAGGAACTGCCTCGATGTAATCAGCAACTGACTTTACCCTCTGTTACTTAGAATAGCGCATGTTAATGGGTTGTTTTGTTGGTAGTGTGCCGGATCTCCACAACTTCCATAAGGATATGTTATGAAAGCCACCAGAAAGGAACTGCCTCGATGTAATCAGCAACTGACTTTACCCTCTGTTACTTAGAATAGCGCATGTTAATGGGTTGTTTTGTTGGTGGGAAGGGAAGATCTGGGAATTTTCAATTGAGATTTCGTCCCATAGGTGAAATCAGTCTATGCTGAAAAGTGAGAAGCAATGTACAGCTGTTTCACTCTTATTGAGAATATTCAACAATACGCTTCCCACCAAGTCTTTTGAGGAATAAGTGCTGCTATATCCTGTCTAACAAGGTCAAAAATGGTAGTAAACGCTCGTTCATAACCAGTTGTTTACTGATCATCGAGGCGTATCTGCATGACAGGATAGATCAGTCTTTTACTTGTTGATGGTGGATTGCCCAACTGGTCAAATTTTATGGGTCTTGTCCAATCACGTTTGAATTGGTAAACGTTGAACTGCATTTATGCTCCTAGTTCTAAATTGTTCCTAGAAAGACCAGAACACAAAATTATAGTTGAGGGATATCCACGTTTTTTTGGCGAGTTTCTCATTTCGCCCGCGAAATGTCACTTAACTACTTCGTTGTCAGTGAGTAGCTAGATCAATTAGGTCCGATTTTAGTGCAAACGCACCACACCGGATGCTCGAGAAACGCGACCCCCGCCTGACCTGACAACTGACTTTTCCATGGCCATGGTGATCCAAGATGCTCCGTGCGCGTTCTCAGTGCCGGTTGGTGAGCTTGAAACCTGAGCTTGTAGTACAGAGGAGTGTCCTCACGGCTTCCGTATTCCAGCGAATCCTGAGAGATATCTCGGAGCGTGGGCTAGTTGGTCAGGTCTACTTACTCAAAGCTGAGTCAAACTCGCATCGCTCGATCGCAACCCAGTTGTATGATTCTGAAGTACCTTGACATGACCTCAAGGCAAACAGAATATCACAGAAAGTCACTCGTTTGACAGATCATTCACTGTCGTGTGGAATTATGGATCCAGCCTGCCCTCCGAATGTACACTTCCCCGAATGGGCGAATCCACGGATTAGGGTAATCGCTGATTTCCTAAACTAATCTGGCAACGCAACACTGACGCATCTGACGAGTTCCTTGTCTTGTTCATTTTTGCGTGGTTCCTTTACTCGTTCTAAGAAGGGCATGTCAGTGGGAGACAAGTAAGGTGACGCTGACCAAATATGATCGGACGCCCATATTCCTTTTGCTGGCAAGATACTTTAATGGCCGAAACACTGGTATTTACCAGCTGCTTCTCTTCCGTTGTTGTCACCATCTACGTACCCTAACCAGATTACTAACTCGTTTCTTTGTCAAACAGTTGGCTTTGATCACTTCCCATCTATTTTGTCTTCCACTCAAGTTGTTGCTAACTCGCGATGCCTGCAGCCAGCCCCCGGTGTAAACTTTTCCCAAGTACTTTATGTCACTAAATGTTTTCTAGATCTCATTTTGTCGTTTACTGACTATCCTTCTTATACGTCCTCATCTGTGATAAGGTTTCAGGATTGCAAAAGATACTGACACTCGTTGTTTGAATTTCACAAGCTGGCAGCTAATCAGCAGGTGACATACCATCACAAATTGTTCTGTAGCAGTGATGAGTGACGTTGTGGTGAGTAAACCTTTCAGCTCCTCACCGTCTTTGGCCTACTCGAGAAAATTCAACTTGTCTGATTATTTCCTCTGTGTATTAAAAGTAAGAGAACCGTTTGGCGAAAAGCTGACGTGCCACGTATGTTTCCTATATTGTACATACAATGGAGGTGCCACTCTGGATCTTTTATTGGTTTCCCTGCATGCGATGGAAAGGCCTGAAAGGAATACTCTGAGTTGCCTGTGCATTGTCCTAAGAATCTCGCTTAAATATCACTAAAGATGGCCAGAAATTCAAGAGGGTTTTAATTTTTCACCTTGCATTTGACAGATTTGCAGGTGCTTGTGTTGGCATTCTTTTGAAAAAATGGTGCATTGGTTCCGCGTAGTTGCAGTTAGTTAGAAACGAATAGAACTAGGAGAGTACATCCGATCAGCCTAGTTGACCTCTGCTGCTCTGTTGGTGAGAGGCTTCTCAACTGAACATCCAATCATTCCGAATATAATGTGCAGCTTTCCAGTAGAACGTCTTTCGACTTCTTTCCCAGCATCCGATTGCCCAATACGGGAGATTACCAAACAGTGCTCCGTCATCCAGAATCAAGCTTCATTATCGAGAACATGACGCACGGGATTTTTTTAGTTGCGATTCTCTCAGTGAAAAAGGGCTATCTTTAACCAAGTACTTTGTTTTGTTCCTCAAAATGAGTGCGGCGGTTGAAATTCTTTAGGTCACTGACTACTGTTCTTAAGAATTTGTCATATGCAAGGCTGACACAATTGATTTCAACCACTGTATGATCGTGAAGGCATCGAATCCTCCGTCGTATTTCGGTCAGTTAAGAGTTCATAGGGTTCATACCTTGAAGAAGAATAACTAAAAACGGCAGGAAGTTCACATAGAATTATATCATGTATCTTGATGTCCACAAAGTCATATACTCCACTCCACTAGCACGTAAAATCGTCAGTTCTACTTTTGGTCGGACTCTCACCCGTACCTCTTTTGTAGGGAGCACTTCTCCAGAAACGAAAGGAAGATTAGAGCCTACTGTCTGTCTCAGGATTCGTGTGCCATGGTTGGGCTACGGCTGTGTGAACCGGTGTGCACCATTTTGCTTGTCAGATTTCGGTGGGCATGAGGCTACCCAGCATGTTCCGTAGGTGATGCATATAACGTGTGATCTTGAATTAATTTGCTGAACTTCTTTTGGTATGTACGTCAAGATTTACCCTTATCGGGTGATAAGCTTCCATGAGACTTATGAGGTGTTTGTAGATGCTGGGAAACTACTTTTGGGAGATACTGCTCTTGAGGGTGGGTATTATCTCTGGAAGTGACCTATTTGTGGGGTGTTCACAAGGTGATGCACTTCAAACGGAACAGAGCCAAATATAACCATTTGAACCTGAGACTCGAATGTTTCGTACACCATCTCAACGACACAATCAGAGGACTGAAGGTCACAGGACTTGTCGAGACGACTACAGTCTAACATGCTTTCGTCAGTTGCGAACATGAGAGCTTGGTACCAAAAAAGGTACCATAAAAAGGCGATCAATTGTGAGTGCTTCATAGGCAATGTGTATTCCATACTCGTCGGTTGCTGGGCTCTGCTTACCAATGTGTCAGATTAGCCGGGTAAGTCATGTTCTAAATCTGGAGATAGTGTTTTACTTTGTAATTATCATTCAAGCTGAAAATTGACGTCACTATCCACTTCTCCAACCGAACCACAAGATTCCCAAATTCCCTCGGTCTCGCACAGACCAGCGTCCTGAATTTCTGTGCCGGGTTCCTGACAGTCCGGTTATAAAACCCGCGGGCGTTAGACTTTATACACATTTCCTGCTTTATTTGTTTTGACCATCAGAAATAAATCACGTAGTTGCGCAGGATAAGAGGAGCCAGCGGCCATCTCTTCCAGACATTTGTTTCGTTCAATAACCCAAAAGAACAAGCGTTCCACTCAGTTGTCTGAAGAGTGGAAGTGGTTTGAGCTGTGCTCATCTCTTGTTTAAACAGCTATTGTTTTGACCTCGGCGACCGGTCTGGATGTTATCGGTTTATGAAAATATGTATGAATTGGCTAAGGCCAAGTTACCTGTATGAGCTATGCCGAACCAAGGCGATCCCTACTTGTGGTCTGCGGTTGATATGCTAGGCAAAGCTCTGTGATCAATGACAGTAATGGAGAACACTGGGGAAACGGAATAATCTGGCCCGTGCTTCCAGTAGATCGTTGCAACCGATGATGCTAACGCTGCCTCATGCTTCACCGGGTCCCCTCTGGGTATTCCACAGAGGGATGCCTCTCCCGAACACTAGCGTGAGCTCAACTAACTCCCTACCGCCATCTTAAACGTTATCATCCCCTAACCTTCATAAACACCTCAAAGTGGGACGGCACTTACTACGAACAATTCATCGTGCCGTACCATCCCTCTGGGACCCCGTTACTCCTTACTCTTGGTTACAAGCAACACAAGAAATGACGGTTAGTCGATGTCACTGGTGCTGGTATTGTCAGTTTCTTTCAGGATTGTCTAACTGATCACTTGAAGATGTAGATACCTCAAAATGTTTGCGAAAAACCAGCACCAGGTCCCTCCCTCACACACTGATTTCTCTTTTTTTCACTTTTAAAACCTTAAATGTGATTAAATAGACTGTGGTTTTATGGCAGTGACATTTCAGCGTCAACAGTGATGCCTCTCTTCTGCTGATGATGGCGACCATCCTTCGTTGGATAAAACCCATAATGTGCATCCAGAGTTTTCAGCTTAGTTTTGAGGTCCCAGAGTTAATTCAACATATACATATCATTAATTCATGTGTTAATTGGATTTTGTCACTAGTGTTCTCCTAGCTGAAACAACTGATTATGTATGCGACTTTATCAGCAACTCCAATACTGGCCTTCCCATTCCACTTTTCGATCTCGAAGAGTTAGCCCCGCGATGCACTATTAAAATCAAATTTTTAATCAATCTCAGCTCCTCGGTCCAGTGACAGTGGATACTTTTGTAAGCAAACTTAAACACGCTGTTTTGAAACTGATTACTGAACAATAACCCTTTCATATAGGTTATATGCGCAATCCCTACATCATTTCCGCATGCTGTATAAGGATGAAAAACATCCTTTGGCCTTCCAACTTCGTTCACACTGCACTCAAATTTGATGAGATTGGAGAAG